AAGGATGTCAGTGCCGACAATTTCTGTATAAAAAGCCAGCGTCGATAATTAATTGGATATTTCCTTCTGTACTTTTTAGCACGTAGCTATTTATTATTAGCATTGTTCTTCCGACGTCTGATTTCTTTTTAATTATAGGAAATGCGTTTTCCTAAGATACATAAACTTTTGGGATTGACTGCATAGTCAATACATCCTTAACGAACCGCATTTAGTTATTATTAACAACAAATGTGTCATAGTTTTGCTACATCGAAAGACTGATTTAAATATTGGATACTAACTGTCCGACCTCTTCAGTCCAGCGAATTTTTTCGGACGCCAAACCATTTACTAATCTATTCGCGAGATCGATCGTTAAAGCAGTAGCGTCAGCTTCGTCCTGACATTTCTGTTTCTCAGCTAAAGCTGCGTTCATCTTTTCTCCCAGGACGTCGAGCACTTTTTGCAGCTCCTGTCGTCGGAAAGGTGGTCTTTTAAACTCGGGTATTTACGCGTAAGCGTTAGAACGGAAGAAATTGTATTATTTAACAAAAGCTTACGGCTAGCCGCGCTCTCAAGGCGTGCAAGTGATCCATAGCGGCTTTTAGATCGGCGTTAGCTTGCGCGAGAGCAGCTCTCAGCGGTTTTACGGTTTCGTTAATATAATGGAAAACCATTATATTTCTTACCCAACTGCAAAGACCCGCTGCTGCTTGCGACTTTGAGTAAATAATCTCCGGCTCGAAATCTGACGGTATTATCATTACGTGGATAGAGAAGATTAATATATTTTAGTTTAATTAATTACGATAGCTTTTACTGAATGCAAGTATATAAAAGAGGATAGAGGCAAATGGTTATAAGATTGTGAACCTTTATTGTTGATGTAAGGTTGAATAGTGTCAACTATTTTAGGGTGAATGTTTTCTTTGTCGTAAGTCCGTAGTTGCGTTAGGAAATTGTCGACGTGACCCATCATAGCTTTGCACGCTTTCCAACTTCTATCTTTCGGTATCTGACCCCTCGGAGAAAACAGGACCAAAACGGCTTCTGCTACCATCGTCACTTGCTCCGGCGGTGTTCCGAAAGACTTTAACTCTGTTAGATTACTCTGGAGTTTATAGTAATCTAATATAGTTTTAAAATCCATAGATCAAGTATTTATAAAATAGTTGGTGTCTGCATGTGGACAATTTTGAATAAATTTTGTTATTTCTTGTTTTACTTTATTTAATGTATCGAGGGCAGCTTCAGCTTGACGAACAGCGGGTTCTGCTTTTGCCAAATCCTCGTCGCACTTCTTTTGCTTCTCTGCTATTATTTCCTTCATTTCCGCTACCTTGGCCTCTTCTTCAGACACTGTTGTCAATATTACTTATTTACTATATAGAAACTATTTATTGTACAATTTTTTTCATCACGTGTGAATGATTTAATTAATTTTTCATAATTTGATGACTAAAGTGGTACCAATGGTTTTCTCTGCCTCTGCTTTAGTATTTTCCGCGCGAACCTCGGCCAGAATTTTGTCCGCGATTTCATTCTTCTTCTTCAGCTCGATCTCTTGCGCTGCTAATACTATTCTCAAGTCGCTTACCTATTCGAATTAATAATCGTATTGACTTACGAAGCAAGTTAATTATTCGGCAACACCGTTAAGAGTAAATGTGCATGTCATTTAACGACTCGACCGCAAATAGAAAATGTAAAGAAATGTGCAAAAATAATTGTGAAAAATAAGTGCAAAAAAAAATAATGCACATGGTTATTCTCGAGCAAAAGAAGCCTCAATATTTTGTAAACTAATATCAGAAATGATATGTTTTGGCACGAAAATGTGCAGTCTGCTAATGCTGAAGTCATTACTTGGGCAGCGCAAGACTCGAGCTTCTCTAGACCATTCTTCAATCTCTCAATCATCGCCTTGACGTCGTAAGTTTTCTCCAACAACAGTTTCGAGTACAACGCAATTTGTTCCAAAAACGATTTTGGTGTTGTATAATTGTATCTTTTTTCGTTTTGCAAGTAAAGCAGCGAGATTTCGTTGACGCTTGTATGCGCGAATGACATAAACAAGGAAGCTGATTTCTTGTATTCGTAAGGGAGTTCCTCCAATTCCTGCAATTATTAATAGAGGACAGAGTGAGCTTTTATGTGTAGGATTCAGCAAGTTGAAACTTGTTGCTGTAAACGATAATTGAATGGGACAATATGCGAGTTTAGTGTGATTAATTAGTAAACCGGAACTTTCTTTGGAACGAAAACGTAGCACGTGACTTAACTGAAACTACAATGGGCACAATTGAGGAACTAGAGCTGCTTTAGTAGTAAATTGGATTCATGGTTCTTACGCGGTTAATTAAGCATGCTAATAAAACGGCACATAGGAAATGTTTAACTCAAGGCGCATAAAAGGGAAAGATTTTATGACAGTAGGATACGCGAGGGAACATTATGAATATAGAAGGAAATTTATAATATTTAGAACCTTGCTTGTTTGTATCTGGCAACTGGAGTTACTACTTGTGTCTAAAACACTTTTCGCTTGGCAAAGAACAAGTTTTACATCAAGAATTTTATTTATTCAAGACTAGCCGATCAATTATTTCGTTCACCGTCCATTACTCTTTGATGAGTAGATTAGACGGTCGGTTCAGCTGATGCGTGCTTTTTCCAAGCAAATAACTAGGTCACTGTGCCAAACGCTGCATCTAAACTTTAAAAGCCCGTATCTTCGGAGCGGATTGAGATATCAGGATAAATCAAAAGCGATTTTTTCATCTTGACTTTTTATAAAGTGAGGAGTCCAGCCGCGAAATCCGCGACTCCAGTGCAATAAAAGGAAGATACAACAAATGATGAAATTGCCTTACTTCCAAAAATCTGGCGGAAACAGATTTCAGGGCGTCTTCCGGCCAACCTTGGAACCAATTGATCGACGTGTTATTCACAATTGCAGGGAATTGCCTAGCTCTGTTTCTTAATGTCGCTCCAACGGGAGAGAAACAGAGGATGCATTTCAATCGATTTCGTACCCGGTCTATGAAAAACTTCCAACAATTTTCTTTGGTATCCATCATGCCAGTTTGTTTGACCTATAGAATTATGGTCATAAATATCATGAGATTTAATATACTANGTTACTACTTGTGTCCAAAACACTTTTCGCTTGGCAAAGAACAAGTTTTACATCAAGAATTTTATTTATTCAAGACTAGCCGATCAATTATTTCGTTCACCGTCCATTACTCTTTGATGAGTAGATTAGACGGTCGGTTCAGCTGATGCGTGCTTTTTCCAAGCAAATAACTAGGTCACTGTGCCAAACGCTGCATCTAAACTTTAAAAGCCCGTATCTTCGGAGCGGATTGAGATATCAGGATAAATCAAAAGCGATTTTTTCATCTTGACTTTTTATAAAGTGAGGAGTCCAGCCGCGAAATCCGCGACTCCAGTGCAATAAAAGGAAGATACAACAAATGATGAAATTGCCTTACTTCCAAAAATCTGGCGGAAACAGATTTCAGGGCGTCTTCCGGCCAACCTTGGAACCAATTGATCGACGTGTTATTCACAATTGCAGGGAATTGCCTAGCTCTGTTTCTTAATGTCGCTCCAACGGGAGAGAAACAGAGGATGCATTTCAATCGATTTCGTACCCGGTCTATGAAAAACTTCCAACAATTTTCTTTGGTATCCATCATGCCAGTTTGTTTGACCTATAGAATTATGGTCATAAATATCATGAGATTTAATATACTATTTAGTTTGATGAAGTATAAAGAGATACCTCGTTTCGCACACTGTTCACAATATTATCAATTTCGTCGTCGGCAAATAATTCGGAAATTTCACCGAAAGCGAGCATGTCGTTTATAAGAACCAGAAACCTTTCATCGGCGACGTGAGAGTCAGTCATGAGGAAAGTAATTCCAATTCCTTTCAATCCCGATTTCAAGTACAGACCTGCTAGGTCGGTTCTTAAATCAACTAGCGAATATCCTGTTCGTAATTGCATCTGGAAAACCTAATTACGGAGACATTTAGTATCTTGAAATTGTTTATGTACTGAATGAGCTGAAATTTTATTTCGAATGCGATTGTTAGATGATATCGTAAGAAAGTCTTGAATAGATACCTCTAAGCCGGAGATAAAAGAAGCGAGACTGGAGAGAGACTGTTTGCCGCTTCCGCCGACACCCACTAGCAACGCGTTTCCTCTCGGTGACTCTAATATACGACTTATCTGACAAACCTGATTCATTGCATCCTCAAATAAAACCAAATTCATCGCTGAAACCTGTTTTCGAGGACGAGAGACGTAAATCTGGGAATTCTAAAATTCCTTAAGTTTTTTTATTACCAGTTCATTATAATTGACCAAAGCTTCTTCCAACAACTTGGTGAGTTGCGGCCAATCCTTGATTGGCATGTACTTTGGGTCCCCGAGTCCTTCGGCGAAGTGACAGTATATTAGTGGTTCAGCAAACACGATATTCTCATCAAATTCCTATCAGAGATAACAAATTGATATTGTGAAACAAGCAACATTTGTTGAATCAAATTCGAGTAATGCTGAACGCACAGGAATATTTTTACGAAGAGCCTCTTTTAGTATGTGTGTAAAAGATATTTTGTCTTCCATATTGATTAATTTATCCGAATACACCCTGGTTGCTTCGTGAACAAATACTCGAATCAAGTGATTCATTGTCGGAATAGTATCGCCAGTCGTAAACAGGAACCCCTTCAAACAAGAATCATTGTTCGATTCTTTGTTGTCTCAGCTATTTCAGTAGTTTCGATTGTATAAACAAATTTTACTTGAAAAATGTTTGAGAGATCGCGTAGATTAAATACGTAGTGAAATCTGATTGCTGTAGGCAAAAATGTCGCTGCGACTTTCTCATGGCAGAACAAGGCAGCTGCTAATAGAGATTCGGAAACCTTCGTAAGTGCTGGATGAAATTTGTTGAAAGGATTTATCAAATGTTGATCCAGCATTTGGCTGTAAATCGTGACTAAATTTTCCATAGTCGGGAAACTGGAATAAAATGTATTTGAATGTCGCATTGCAATAGATACTTGTGGTAAATCCATTAAAAGAATGCATTTCGTTTCATTATGTGTGCATTGCAGTATGCATTCATTCTTAATAATTGATGTTTCATAAACGGCGTTTATATTGTTTTTTCCATATTCAGTTTTTGTGCAACTGCAAAAGATCTGATGATATTTATTTACCTGACTGCGAAGACAGCGAAATGCCTTTGTAAGCGAGGATCAATCGTGAAACTCCCTGCCGTCGGATTCATGCAAGACACGTATTGCGTGTTGTGAATTTCTTTCAACGTTAATTTAGTCTTGTCGTACCTGCAATTTTTCAAGCACGGTTTTCAAGCTCGACTCGTTTCTTACAAGTGTATACATTATCTTTATACCAATGGTTGTAATCAATATGTTGTCTGATAAGCGTGTGAGGTTGCACAGTTCCGTAAGTGTCGACTTCCGGCATGTTCATATCGTCAATAAAGTAAATCAACTTTTTCATTCCGGGTGGTCCGTAATTTTTACCAGTCTTTTTCTCCAAATGCTTTTCCAATATTCTTTGCAACATGTCTTTAAACAATTGGATTTGTATCAAATACGATTTCACAGACACTGTGGTCTAATTATATGAGTACGGATAATTGAATCCTCATTACCAGAAGTGGTGTAATAATTGAGAGGTACATTTGCGATGTTGTAAGCATCTGGAAGGGATCCTAATTTCTCAGCCATGATGACGCTTTTTCCCGATCCCGCAGCACCTATCAACATGACCGGCACGCATTCTTCTACGAAAACGTCCAAGAAGAAGTGCATACGCGCGGTTTCGCCAGTCGACACTAGAGTAGACTACAAAAAGTCGTTTAGGAAAATTAAAAAGAGAATATTCAAATTCTAAATTAACAGATTATGAAAAAATTTGTGTGGGAATAATGAAATGAATTTATTCATTAACATAGCAAAGCAAATGAGTCCTCTTTGAATTCTGCGACCGATCGTTTGATCGATTTGGCAGTCAATTACTTCGAATAATTAGGACTTTATCTCGAAATGAGAATTTACGACAAGTCAAGAAATTGCTTTGTTTGATATTAGAGATGTTAAAAAAAATACCTGTAGTGGTATGTCAGCGTCCAGTTCAAAAGGTTTCATTTTCTCGGACCAGGGAATTAGCTTCTTTGTGTCGTCTTCGATAAAGTAATTGAAGACGTTGCTGCCGACTGGGAACTTGATAGTTTTAAATTCATTTTGCCACCATTTGTTGAACTCGTTTCGCCAGTCGATCAACTGGTCTTGGAAAGTTGCCGATCCGAACGCCCAGATACAAGCAAATGCAAAGTACATTTCGATCCTTGACGGAAAAAGAATTATGTAATTAATGAGACATTTAAGGCTGGCCTCTGATCGTGTTTCTGTAAAATGAAATAAAAAATCGCAGTGCACTGACGAAAGCCGCTTTCCTCTGTTCAGCCCAATTGATATAGTTTATAATTAAATTGTACTTGTTGGAAAGACTACAGGACGTGTTTTTTTAATGGTGAAAAATCGAGAGATCGTATTTGTACCATTCTTTTGGACCGTCTGATGGACAGTTGTCTTTGGTCAGAAAATAGTCCAACAATACGCAAAGCATCTCGACGTGGCAGATGTCTGGTATCGGGGTGATCTTCTTAAATTTGTTCTTCATTACCTCTACGAGCGTTGGGACGTACTTGTCGAATAAAATGGTTAAATTCGCTCTCTCGGGCGGATCTCTCGTCTCTATCCAACTGATTGCAAACCTAAATCAACGCATTAAACAATACGAACTCTATATTCGTAATTATGAGCTTAATCAGGCAAGTTTCACTTTGCATAAAATATTATACTTACGGATACCATCCAATGTCTTGTGGATTTATGTAAAGTATCCCAGCTCTGGAAACGGTAGCCGGTGTCGCCGTCCTAAGATTTATTTTCAATTCCAATTATTGAATACAAGAATATTGTGGGAATGGAAATACCTAAGATTTGAAATCTCAAAGAGAAGCCTCATCGAATCAGTCAAAGCGATTCTTTCGTTACTAGCCAGAGTCAACACTTTGTTGTCATCCATAACGGTATTCAACGATTCGATCCACATGGGATCTATGTCACCGTCGAAAATGATCCATTTCGGATCGTTGTCCGTCATGTTCGCTTGATCTCTCATTATTACGGAAAACAATCTGAGAAAATCGTTCAGCATGAGTGAGTCATTTATCGCTAAAACGAGAATTGAAGGCAGAAAGTTCAAACCCGTCTTTCCATTCTCTCGTGGCTGGATTAATAATTCCAAACAGTTCGTCGTTAGTCACTGCTTTCGGATTCAAGTCGTTATAATGCGGTTTTAATTGCTGATTGAAGTAAGTTCGATTAAGTGTTTTCCACACTTCGGTTTTCCCAGTTCCGGCGAGGCCGACGATAAAAACCGAATGACGCACGAAAAGTAATTCTTCTAATTGTACGACCTAATCAAAATGAATATATCTTAATCATTTATCTTCTTATTTCATGCGATAAGAATATTTCAATTTTTACTTTTAATATAAAACCGTCCTCAGCTTGTAATTTTAAATCTAAAGTAGATTGTCGGACCACTTGCTCGAAGTCCAAATCCCTTTTTCGCGGCACGTCCAAAGCAGGGAACAAATCGCCTAGACGAATGAACATTTTCGTATTCGATCATTTATTTATCGATCGGTTCATTGCTCATCGTCGTGTATTTTTATGAAAATTCACCAATAAGCCCCATGAAGACGGGTACGTCGTCCGTAACAATTTTCGGGATGTTAAAGTCTCTAAGTGCCCTCATTAATACCTGATCCTCGTCCCTGTGAGGATCGTCCCTCTTTAGTTTACCGGCGACCACTAAGACCGATTTAATAGCTCGCAGACCCCAATCGTAATGGTCCTGCTTCGATAGAAGTTCCCGACAGAGTTGGTAGAGAGTTATAAATTTTCTTGCCAAGAGCCTGGCTTCTTGGAACCCTTCTGCCACCAGCATTATTTCGCAAATTAAATCGAAGTCCGGAACTACCATGGCGCAAGGCCTTTAAAATACGCAATTGTGATAAATTTCATTATAACTCTCCGAAGTTGAGTGCTGCAATATATTTCAAAAGCAGTCATTATGCACCTGAACAAGGTTTTCAGATTCTCCGGCAACTCGGTCCTGCCGGCGTAGCCGGGGTTCATGGTGATAAACATTCCAACAGTAGGCACGAGATTAAGTTCCTCTCCAAAAAATTGAAAGGTTGGTTTATGGGCCTTTATTCCGTCCAAAACCGATTTTACTTGTACGGCGACTACCGAAAGCACCTCCACGGATATTCGGTTGAATTCGTCGAAACAACCCCACGCCCCCACTTGAGCCAGGCCTTTGTAAATGTTTCCACAAGACTTGGAACCAGAAGCAATTTACGTCCAGTTAAATAGTGTGTATTATATCAACGAGAAGGGCCACGTACAATAACTTGTTTAATGGTTTCGTTGAAATATTCGTTATTATATAATGAAAGTTATTGAATATCCTTGTATTTATAACAAAATAAAATATATTGCTGTCAGGGTTTATGAGAAAACCAATTCACCTTGTAGTCCATTTGTTCGGAGCAATTGAACACGTAAACCATTTGGCCAAGCGCTCTTCCCAAATCTTTGGTAGTTTCCGTTTTACCAGTCCCGGCTGGTCCAGCAGGTGCTCCGCCCATTATGAGATGTAACGATTGCGTCAAAGTGATGTAACATCTGTCTGTTAACGGCGTTATCACCAGTCTCGGAACATTCCCCAGGTACTCGTAATCGTACTTAAAATACGCGTCACAAATATCAGCGTAGCAGTCTCCAACTTTGTCGTCCCATCTTTAATCATGAATCACAGTTTTGTTAAATCGTAGATCGTTTTGCGAAACATTTATGATGTCATTTGATCCAAGTATACAAAATTAAAAATCATTATGTCTTCACCTATGCCTGAGCTGCGATTGCCATTGAAAGCTAGAAGAAGACTCTGCTTTCATGGAAATCATTTTGGCCACAACGTCTCTGGCGTGTACGTCTATAGTGCAAATTGTCATAATTTTCCTCCTGTCACTCTCACTTAGCTCCCCGCAGAGAATCATTATCAACGCGTTGAGTTGATTGATCTGCTTCCTCTGGTAGTCTTTAAAGGCATTCTCAAAACCCTCTTCGAGCCTCAAGAAGGCCATGTTCACCTCGGTAGTCCACCAGATCTGAGTTCCGCATAAAGCAGGCTGAGCGCAGTGATCGAAGATCCATTGTTCACGCGGTTTTTCTTCGTACGTAGCTACCGCTTGAGATATGTGATATCTGACCGACCTCTTCATCGCGTCTGTCACATGGTTCAACCAAACTTCTACCTGTAAAACGATTTAATTATTTTTATTGTTTTGTTTCCCTTTGAAACTTTGTTATACTTTTCCGCTGCAATCACAACTTCCGTGAATAGCCATCAGTTCGCCGTCCTTGGCAATCATGACAATAGCTTGCTTCGTCGCCTTCCCACCGTCCATTTTCCATTCCAATGTCGCGATAGAGTCGTACAGTTTCGACAAATGTTTGCAAACCAGTTCGGGATTGTTTCCTTTAAAAATAATTTGGTTCTATTATCTGTATTTTAGTAAGTGAGTATTTCCAACCGTGGCTTAATATGTCGAGCAAATCTGCTGCGGAGATGAAGTAAAATCTGGGGTAAATCAATCTTTTCGTTTCCAAGTAATCAGCTAATGCTTTCTCGCAAACATTTAGCTGTATCAGCAACTCTTCCAGTTTCTCCAAGATCTTGGGTCGATTGGTAGCTTTGATGATATTCAAATTGCTCGTCATCTCTTTTAACAATTCCTTGAAGAATAAATTAATATTCATGTTTGACACACTTCTATTTGCGTATCGTCGGTTTATGAATAAGTACTTTAAACTCTCTGTCGATTTTTTCAAAACGTTTTGACTCTTCGGGAAGTTGGCTTCTTATATCTTCAGAGGCAATGAAAATACTTTCGAGATTCATCCACGCTCGTTGAACTTCGAACCAGGCATTAATCACCGAATCTGCGGTGCTCAGTTTTTTCTGCCAATCGAGAATTTCGTCGAGAAAGTAGCCGACGAATTTCGAGCCCAACATAGTTTGCAGTTGCACCTGTCACAAATCAATAAATTAACAGGTTGCTGATTTTTTATATAGATTTATATAGAATATTACTTGATTGTCCTCCAGAGTTTCAACGGTCTCCTCGTCGATTTTCAGGACGTACAGTTTTGTGCGTTCGTGCAATTCTTTACCAAATTCGAGCGTACTCCACGTGTCATGCAATTCTTTTAATATTTTTTCCATCGCCATTTCCTTTACTGCTTTCGCAACAATATTTTTCACCTCCTCTTCGTATTTGTGCAATTGGAGTTTCAGCAAATCCTCCAAGGTAGTATTATCGGTCATACTAAATGCTACCTGGAGTAGAAAAATTCTAGTTCGCACGGTATCGAATATTTTATAGCTTTCACCGTGTTGCAATGTCTAATTAAAATCAAGGTCCATCCGAGACTCGACCCAGTTGACCAAGATCTAGCTCAGAACGCAAGTTCAAGTGTAAGCAAAACTGTGGCGCAATCTCGATTAATGATGTTCAGTTTATGGAGTAATTCGAGCAGTGACAAGTCACTGTCCCCTAACGCGAATCAGTATATTAATTGCCGGCGTAATTGAGCATTTGTTACCTTAGTCTCGGCCATTAATTCTCTCCAATGTCTATCCCTAATTGCTGGATTTTGCAACTCCGAGACCGCTCTCAATGATGCCATCATGTTTCGCACTTGGGCCTCCACATTACCGTACAATTCCCAAGGACGCACGTCTTTGTCCACGACTACCCAGAGAAATGAAATTCAAACAATCGTAAAACTCCACGTGCGGGAGAATTCTACTTAGTTTCTATGATACAACTCGAGATACTGGATTATGAATTCATTTAACGCTAGGAGTAACGAGCGCGCCGAGATGACTCATGATCAACTTCCCATAAACTAGGCAAAGATTTGGTAATTTTCGCCTTTCCTATGCCTTAAATTTATTTATTGAGAAACAATTGTAAAAATTGATTTTTCTTACGCCTTAATTCTCTAAGAAGCTTCTTGCACTCCTGATCCATCCATTCAATGTCGAGCTTCTTCCACGTGGTCTTTTTCCATTCATTCAAAGAAGTTTCAATCACGTGTACATAATCCCAGACAGTTTTCAAAAGTTGCATCTCTTTCTGTATCTGTTTGATCACTTTGAACTGGGGCATCTCTTGCTCGAATATCACGGTCTGAGCATGCAAATCCTTCTCCTCGCTTAGAAACTTTAAGACCTCTTCGTGTATGTTATTTAATTTCTCGTACGGATCCTTGCTTTCTGGACTGAACGACAATTATTAGCCACTTTTAATTGTCTCTTTAATTACGCTGTCTTACTCGAAAACCGGACTCTCGTGGAACTCTTTCAAAAACGTCTGCTGCTTAAAATCATAATAGCTCAGCCTCTTCTTTAAGAGCTCGATTTGTCGAGTCATTAAAGGTTGAACGACTTGTTTCACTTGGGCAGCTACTTTCTTCAATGTTTCCCAACTAACCGGCAACTCTTGTAACCACTCAAATATTTTATCTTCCAAAACTACGTCGTAATTCTGCAGAAGCTCTATCGTTTTCTGTAAAGTAAAGAAAGACAAGTTAATAGAAAATTAACGTCGATGATAAATGATTATTTACTTTAATTGGATCAAACATGTCTTCGATTTCGAATTGGCGATCTCTGACTTCTTTCAAGTAATATATCGTTTCCAAAAGCCCCTCGTAATCGTCCTCCTGAATGGGCTTAGAGAAATTGTCCATAGCCGCATTTAAAAAGTTCTCCAATTCCTGCAATCTGAGAAAAAAATCAATATTAATTATGAAGCGATTATAGTTCCTGATTACGGATCATCAATTAAATATAGTATACATATTACAAGTTTGCTCTTTACATTTAATTGTTGAACATTTATTTGTTGATGAATGTATCTAATATTAGCGGTACTAATTTAACTTTGTGTATTACTTTTGTAACATATGAACGATTATATCGTGAATTGTCTGCGGTGGTTGCCAAAGTCAGGTACTCTGATAGTTTCCCGGAATAGTGATTCGGAGCCAAACACTATTACGTTCACTATTCGGTTACGCAAATACACAGAATTAGTGCCAACAGAGCGAGCACTCCGATTGTGGTTTCGGAGAAATCAGCTCTATTTGCGGTTAGAGGTCAAAATGTGACTCGCATTCGTAAATTCGCGGAATAACCCTTTATAAAACAGTCGTTACGTCCGATGAACGTCTGACCATCGACCACCAAGCGAAAGTATGTGAAATATACAAGGAAATGAGATAATAGCGAGACGATGACACGAAAGCAAATATGACGATCAATTCATGATGTAAATGCCTAGGAGTAATTTTAGTAATCATCAAATCAGAAATACGTCATGCACGAAGAATAGAATTAATTAGTTAATACGATAGGAAATTTTAATTACTGGGTAGTAATGCGGTTGACCAAGTGATCCTTTAGCACGTTCGACCACTTGCAGATTGTGTTCAGCAAGCTCTGCTTAAAAGGTTTTACGTCGAGTCTCAACCACCGACAAAAAACCTCTTCGTTCTTCATTTTATCGCATTCATTGTACAGATCCAAAAAGAAATCGATTTCCTTTTTAAAGTCCTCGAGCTCCGGTTTCTTCTCTTTCAAATCCTCCGGAATGTGGCCTAGGTCGATCATCTCTCTGTCTTCCGGTCTCACGTACTTTGAGAATTCTAAGAAATATTGCAAATATTCTTGTCGGTCGTCTAACCACAGCCATGAATATTTCTCATACGTCTGAAAACAATAGTTACGCCTCGGGATTGCTAATTTCCGTTTTACAAAGACAGGCGAAAGGTTTTAGCGATAGTGATATGAAAGTGAGATGAAAGTTGAAAACTTGGATACCTGAGCGTGTTCCTTTACTTCCACTAATGCGAGTTTTACTCGGTTGCAGGTTTCTTCCAACATAAATACGATACCCTCCTCCTCGGCAACGTCAGTCTTTAAAGAATGATGTAATTAATAACACGTATCAAATAAAGATCAATCGTTCGTGATGGGAACTTCGTTTATATCAATCAATCATTAGTTAGTTCTCTGAGAGAAACTTTGTGATAAATGTTCGTCATCGGACATGAACTTCTTAAAGTGAATATGTTCATCAAGAAAATTATCTTTCCGGTCGAATGTTTAAATGCAAATCTGCCCAACACACCGAATAATCTTCTTGATCCTCGTGCGTTTCAGCGTCGACACGTGGGATAAGAGTTGCCATTTTCATCATGTCGAGTAGAAGTGTCTCAAAATTTTTATAGAAACCTTCCGGATCGTTCACATCCACCGATGGTCGGAAGACTATACTTGGATTCTTTTTAATATATAAAAGAACATAATAGAATCCGTCCCATAATAATGAAGTCGCCGTTTTTAAACAATTTTTTACCTCTAAACATATTTGGATCTCGAACGAAGGAAGTAGATCGCCTTCGGGATCAGTTTCATCGAGAATATAGCAAATACTGCAGACATGAATCAAATTAGTCTAATTGATATAATTAAATATTTAAGGAAACGATTGATAACCTCGTGGAGACTGCTTGGATAAAGCCCTTGGAAATCAAGTTGTCTACATAAGATAGATAAGGTTGCCATTTCTCTTTCCTCATCGCTGCGGTTTCTTCGTCGATTTCTTCTTCCTCTTCTACCTCCTCTTCTGCTTCACCTTCTCCCCCTTCTTCATCTCCATCTGTCTGTTCATCTAATCTAAAAAATAATGTGACTCGCCAATTACGTGATTCGATTTTTGTAGATTATTTTTTATTTCACCTCACAGATGCAGTCTCGGTTCCTTCCTCGGGTACTGCTCCCTCTTCTCCTTCTTCTTTCTTTTCTTCAGTCTGGTCTATAAATTCGATTGATTAATTCAAAGTAATGTATACAAATTGTATAATTATATTGTATAAATATTTAATATAAAAATTAAATATATATTAAATACGCAAATGTTTGCAGTAGAAACGCGCCTTCTAACAATTCAGCGTCGTCTCTTTCGTAAGCGCTCTCAGGTAGCAAGTCGAAAAACAGTTTATAATTTTCTTTCAATATTTTTTTTAGTTCCTCGGCCGTCGCTTCGATTTCCGCGTATCTTTCCGCGAACTTGTCATCCTTATCAGCCAGTGACAGTAAATTCTCGTCCCTCGCGTCTTTACGATAAAGGACCGGCATCATAGCCCACGTGTACATCTTGTCCAAAATATTCTTCAGATTCTCCTGCGCCCGAAAGACTCTGGTATGCAATTTCCAAGTAAGTAGCAACAGGCTCTCGATGTATTCCGGAACCTCTGAAACAATTCGTTCAAGTAGGTTGAAAAATTCTCCTCCTGTATTCAAGTACTCTGTACCTTCCGAATTCCAATTATAGTTCTCTTGGCCGTGATTAATTAGATTTTCGATGTTTTCAACTTCTTCCTCTACCAACTGAAATTCCACCGGTACGCTTTCATTTCGAATTCTGTTATACCTGAAATTGATGAATGGATATTAAAACAAAATTCTCCACGTGTAATCCTCGACTTTCCCAAATTATAATTCTAAAAATAATCGAGATGTTTTAAGAATGATATTATTATTATGCTAATATTTTAGTAAGCCTTCATATGCATACCTTCTTGCTCAATGTATGCATATTTTCAACTGTCTGAATCATCGTTTCTGTATTTTGTATACTTTCTCGCATAGTTTATGTATACAGATTGTTCATACTTAATTGGAAACATTTGATTTAAAAAATAATTCAAGTATCTACAGACAATGTAAATTTCATAACTGGTGCTACGTACAAGGATTTTTAAGTATCGTATGTCTCAGACATTCTCGTAGCTTTTTGATATTACAAGTGATTTCAACATTTCAATGATCGTACAAGGTCCCGCGTGAAGCAACCAGTGCTTGCTAGAATCTAACGTTCACGCGACAGAGACAGATATAAGAGGGATATATGCTAATGATTTGTAGACGATTCATAAAACTAATGTTCTCAGATAAGAATTTCAGATGAGCATGAGGAGATTTTACACAAACATCGTCATAAATTTTAGAAAGCTTTAGTCAATCGAGAATATTTACCAGTTTACTATCAAATTGAGATTGTAAGTGCTGTTGAAAAAGAACTGCGATCTGTTGTAAAATTCCATAGCTTCCTCAGGAAGGTCGGGCATCTTCATGATTATCATGTAACGAATCTCTCGCAAAGCGGTCCTTAAGTCCGAATGAAAATTCAGCTCTAGCAATTTGTTGTCGTGAACGATCAGAAGAGTTTTCGATAAATGCGTCTCCCAAATTTCAGGCAACTTCTCTTCCCAAGCAGTGTATATTTCCCTCTCTTTCTCGTAGATAATCCTCTTGAAAAAATGAATATATGAAAATGAAAATTTTAATGCTATAAAATAGCAAAAAATTGAAATGGAATTCCCGACTAGTTCAAACGATCTGTGTTGTAGCATCAGATATTACCTCCAATTCTTCGTATTTGTTTTTGAGCTCATTGTCTAGTGTGGCGTTAATTAGAGGATGATCGATTAATTTCATGCAGCGAATTGGGAAACGAGTTCTGTCTCGCAACTTCGCTAAGAAGGATAAAGACGCAGCCACTGGAGGCATATACGCATCCAGTGGCAAACGCATCTTGCCTCCTTCGCCTGAGAAATTTTCATCGAATAATTGCTATGAAAGAAGAAATGTTTTTTAATCACAAAATTTAGGTTTTATTAGTACCAAATAAGTTTACCTTCACGTTATCAAAAGCCACGTTTGTTTTGTCAATTACTTCTTTGTAATTGTGCCATAATTGCGCCATGATTATAGGTCTGTTGCCAATTACGCCAATCATCCAAATAAACTTGAAGGACGCCTCTATGTTATGGCACTCGGCAAACACTTGGTCAAAAATGCTTGCTAATCGTCGGTCAAACTGTTCTATCTTTCATGCCATATAGTGTGTACAATTACAAATACATGCCTTTTAAACGAACAAGAAATAATTTTCTTTTATTGTAATTTACTTTGCTAAAAAATTCATTCAAGTCCTCGGTGAATTGTGTCTCTTCAGGCTTTAATACTTCATAAGGCACGTCTCCAAATTCATGATAGAGTCTAAGAAATTCGTCATAGATATCATTAGTCATAGCAAGCAACGATTTGGCCTTTAAACCAGACATCTCTATCCTTTCTAGTTTCATATAGTCTTGTACTGTGTCGAATAACGCCTACAACCCGAAAGTTATGAAAATTGAAAAACTTCATATGTTGCAACATTTTTTTTTTTACACACCTCGATTTCTTTTAATCTCTTCTCGAACATGAGGATCCTCTCGAAGACCAACTTCTCATGAAACGTCCAAGGACTTGTGTCCTGTGACTTGAAATAAGAATCTAATCTTTCTTTGAACATTCGGAAAGTGTCTTGATAGATACTGAGGTACGGCATCACCTCAGATATCTTCACTTTATTTTCTTCGATGTCGCCTTCGAACAGTGTTGATGGATTTATATATTTCACTGCCTACAAAAATCATTTAACATTCCATGCTTGTTCATTTGATGATCATTTTCATTTTATGATCTAATCTCCTTAGGAAACAGTTAATTACCTGAGAAATTAACAGATCTGAAATCTCTTGTAAAAGAGCGATGATTCGTTCCATGGTGTAATATTTTGAGTTGGACCACATCAAACAAACGCAGTGTAGCAATATTTTTAATTTCGGCATTACGTCTTTGAAATCCATGGCTTCTATTTCGGTGAAATAGACTTCCAATGGTTTCAAGTAAAGATTAATATCTCTAGTTTCAAGTAATGCTGAAACATTGAACAAATATGATTTCACAGAAAAATGTAATATGAAAACAAAATTTACCTGCAGCCACGTTCTTTACTAAATTCTTAAAGTACTCAGAATAAGGGCTCTCCAATTGTTCTAAGAACGTATCTAATTGCATTACTTTCGAATCTTTCAACTGATAATAGAGAGATTCCATATTTTTCAATCTCATGTTCCAATAATCCAATTCTAACGAAATAGGAATGTGATTAATTATTACAGATACAGAAAATTCTGAAATTCAAGCTGCTATATTAAATTACCAGATATGGCTTGTTTTCCATTCCTCTTGAATTCCTCATTAAGGATCTCGTTAATCTGAGACGCCCATTTTATTACGATTTCCTCGATATTGCTTTTTAATTGAAGTTGAGAGGTACTCTTATTATTTAATTTCGCGTTTAAAATTTCTTCCATACCCATAGGCATCGGTAGTAAAGTTTGTCCCGTTATTTTTCCTTTTACCTGCATTTCAATAAATCGTCATGGACTTCTGATTCATTTTCTATCGCATAGATCATTGTAAAACCTGTTGTACCTGCCATATTAAACTTCGTAGATCGTACACTTGTTTCTTAACATCTTTCCGCACGACTTCCGGCCAGCCAACGTGATTTTTTGGATTGGATAAAATAGGTACATATGCCTGGGAATATTGCAAACGTCTCAATCATTCGTAATTTTTCGAGTTCGAACTTTCGATAAAAATGATTTATTGTAGAGCTAACATCTTCGACGAGCACGGCTAATTCCTCGATAGGATTCGGTGCCATGTCGCCAGGTATCAACACGTCTTTGTAATTATCCTCGGTAATCGTTTCCGGTTTCTTTTTCATAAAATACGTCAGTTTCCTTTTGGAAGGCGTTATACCGAGATGTGGTACTAATAGACCAGCAGGTGTTATTTGTAACACAAGTACCATTTCCGTAGTGACGGTAAAAAATTTCATAAGAATTTCCTAAACCAGGGATAAAGATAAGACCGATTCAAATAATTTATAAGACGCAAAAGGCTATAGAAGAAATATGGTCTTCGATCGCAGGTGCACGGATAAAGTAGCATTAACGCTCGAACAAATTCTATACCATATTTTTCCACGCTTGTTCGAACTAAAAACTAATATTTGGAACAGTTTGACATACTCTGAATTCCGCGTGCGACAACATCTTTGTCCATCTATCTGGCTTTAGTTTTCTGGAGTACGTGAGATAAGTGTACATGTACTCCAACCGCTGGTCCTCCTCCTCCTGTTCCTCTTTTCCGCCTCTGTCGTGCATTTTCCCTTCGTATTTACAATTTTATTTAATAATTGAACCCGGCATTTTTTATCATCCGCTTGGGTTACTTCTTAGAATATTATATAAAAAATGACGATTCAGGTGACGAGGAAATTCAGACACCTTCAGGGACTTCGAGATCTAATCGTGTAGATCTTGATAAATCTAATCGATAGGCTGGTTAATTAATTTGCATGAACACAGGTAGTTTATGGCTGATCATTCTCTTAAGGATGTATTGGCTATACAGTCAATCCCAAAAGTTTATGCACTTTAGAAACGCATTTTTTAAAAAGAAATCAGACGTCGGAAGAACAATGCTAATAATAAACAACAACAAAAGAAATTTTATTTTTCCGAGATTTTTCCAAGGGGTGCCCCTTCAGATTTTGTGAAATTTTCGTTTTTTGCCAATAACTCCAAAACGGATGGATCTACAGGAAAATTGCATCAGATCTTTTTTGTAGACGACGATGAAATCTACAATTTCCATATAAAATTTTGTCGCTAGCGCCAATAGTTTCCGAGTAATTTGCAAAAAACTGTTTTTTCGTTTTTCGTCAATAACTCGTAAACTATTAATGCTAGCGAAAAACTTTTATATGGAAATTATAGATCTCGTCGTCCTCTACAAGAAAGGTCCTGTGCAATTTTCCCGTTGATTCAGGTTTAGGAGTAATTAAGGAAAAATGCAATTTTTTGCCAAAAGTTCGCCGTTTCGACGCTGGGATGGTCGGATTTTGTCAACATCCATAAAATGCCATATAATTATATGTAACTCGTTAAATATCGAAGTTAGAAGGAAAACAACTTTTATTTCAAGCATTTTTCGAAATTTTGGAAAAAAAAATTTTCGTCAGCGTCAATACTTAATTGGATATTTCCTTCTATACTTTTTAGCACGTAGCTATTTATTATTAGCATTATTCTTTCGACGTCTGATTTCTTTTTAATTATAGCAAATGCGTTTTTCTAAGGTACATAAACTTTTGGGATTGACTGTATAGCCAATACATCCTTAATATCCTTCCGTTTACTCATACCTAACACGGAATTTCAATATTGTTGCCGTAATCGACTATCTCTTCAGTATCTTCTGAAAAGTGATTAGCGCTCGACGCAACAATCACTGGTTAACACGTAAGATCATGTACCTATAATGCCTTTATAGTATCTCAATTATATAAGAACACGCTTGTTGTATGGAATAGGAAGATATCGGACGAGGCAGTAAACGTACAAATTGCAGATACGTGTTAAACAGTTGAATAATCTGCAATGGAGTAATCATGTCGAGTGCGTAATCTTTATTGTAACTAGCACGTAGCTTTTTTTCGATCTTTCTATTTATGCCTACGTGCTAATTTATTTTCTCTTCTTCGGAAATACAAAGAATGCAGTGTAACAGTGGGTGTAAAAAGGATCACGGTTGCGTAGTACAATTACTCAGATGAGGAAGTAACGACTTTTCATGCGCATCTTTACATAATTTATTATTAACATATTCCTCTGAGAAAGTACATAAGCATCGACAAGCGCCTTTCTTTTTTAGTAAAAAATAAACATCGTCGATAGCATTGAATTTGGTATTGAGAATAGATTTCATTTGTGAGGCTGTTTACTATGTGGTCCATCGCTGCCTTCGGTTTGAGTAGAATGGCCATGCTGTCCAAGGACGAAAGAATTCGATCGGCCTCGATTTGATTCAAAATTGGCACCGTTGACGAGTATATCCCGGTTTATTAAAGAAGAGGCGAATGAGAAGGTATTCGGCTCGGCAGTGGAAAGCGGGCAGGTGTTCCGGGTTAATATTCGTAGCGAAGAGGATTGTTTTGCAACGGTAACTCTCCGGGCGGCTTACGTGCCCGTGCCCGTCTCGTAATTAGTTTGACTTTCACCGTGAGGGCCACCATACCGGGCACACTTTCGCTCGTCTTCATTTCGCCCGTCTCCTTCTTTTCTGCCTCCTTCTGTCGTCTTCGGTTCTGCCTCTGGAATTACGTTACGGAGAAAATACCTGAAGTGCGTCCGCAGGAATTTAGGCCGATATCAAGGACGTTACCCGGTAACCTCACCGGATTCGGAACGGCCAAACCGACGCGGTGGCGGCGCGGTGCCGCGGCGTCGCTATGGGTTCGGCGATCGATTCCAGAACCGATATCCAACCACCATATGACTCTCGACGAGAGATCTCTTTCCGAAAGGCGCATCCGTGGGCTTGCTCAACGAGCCTTGATGTAATCGGGATTTCTTGTAATCTCGGAACGATCGGTTGCGATACGAACTACGCTCGCTTCTCCCGCGGTTGAACCGTACTCGGTCGCTCCGTACCGGTCAACCGTCCATTTCACCTTCGCTCAAACTTTCCTCCGCCGCGTCATTTCGATCCCAAAATTACGACCACGCTTTTTACGCCCAGCGATTTTTCCTCGTGCCAACCGTGTCGAATATCACGCCATTCTTCTTCGTTCGAACGGTTGCCATGCTTAAACTCCGGGAAAATTAAGTCTAAATTGAGATTTATTACAATTGTTATAAATAATGATACAATTGCATGTTTCTTCCTTTATATGTTCTGCGTGTATCGCCTCTCTTATAAATATGCTGCCAGGGATTATTATTCACTTGCCACTTGGGTGTTGCTCATGTAGGGAGGGAAAACATTAAAATTGTGTTACTATGACAGACGTCAAATTATGCACCTCGGTCATGTTCTATGTTTATAGATATATTATAACAATGATGATGAGTGATTTACTGTTTCCTTCATGATAAGTATAATAGCGTGTAAACGCTTATTTATAGCTACTGTGCATTACATTAGCTGAGTATTATCCTCACAGCTGAGTTAATGAAATGTTTATCTTCATCAGGTATCTAGCGAGTCAAGTTACCTGTTGCTATCGTTAATTTTGTATGACTTTTCATTTCTTTTCTTATCCATAAAAAGTGTACAAGTAAGTTTTTAATCGGAGATCCGCTCGTTTGTATCAATAAACGAAATTTGTAGAAATTACGTGTAATAACGTTTTGAAAAATGATTTCATTGTTTTTAACTACGAGAAGCTTCTATCCGACATACGATCAGAGAAAAGTTGTTAGATCCATTCATTCGTGTCAGTAAATGTAATTCACGGGTTGATTGGTTCTCAGACAGCTAGGATCGCGATCGTATCTAAACGAACACGAAAGTAATTAAACTAAAATATACGATAAATTAAAGGCGATCCTTTGTTCCCGCTTCCGATCGCGTGGGTTTGAATGGTGCCAAGTTTCCCGGTGTAAATTTCGCCTCCGCGTAATCTCCGTTCTAAAACGGGCGAATCGAAAATTCACCACTCCGGGGATGCCGTTAAATCCGTAATAAGATCAGGATTACGTAGCGTCGTGAACAAAGATCGCCCCCGATCGATGATCGAACGGGCGTAGAAAGAGGATCGAGGATGTTACTTTTCCCCTCTTCCAGGCCCGTATAAAAGTCCGAATGTGTCGATCCGGCCGACACAAACTGTGAAAGATCGTCAGTGAAAGACGTTCTCCTTTACGACGTCTACCTTTCGGCTTAGTACCCTCCTCCTCGATCACCGCGAAATTCAACGATGTTGGTCTTTCTGGTGAGTTCTGCCGTCCATTGTTCATCACGAGACTGTGGGTTTTATGCATTTTTCGATCAATTGAACCTAAAGAAAAATTTCATTGAAGTGCAGCATACGATGAAAGTATCAAAAGTATATTGCAGCTTTTAAATGATAATCCTGAAATGCATTTTTCGTTTATATTATTGTAGTTTTATTTTGCATAAAAATCCTCAGTGCTCATCGCGAGTCTCCCTTATCTTTCATTCATAACTTGGTCAATACTCTATCCCATCTTCGTATCAGTTGGCACTCTTCTCTTCCATGATAGTTCTATTTCATTGCATCATTCATTGTTATACACTTGTAATCTAACATACATTAATTAAACTAAATTGGAATCGACGAATATTTTTTGTGCGATCGTCTCGCTTCAAGCTTATTTACCGGTTTCCAATTAAATTCTCGAGAGAGGTCCGTGGTCTCGTTTCATAAAAGGGCAATCTCTGGAGATGGGAATTGAACGTATCGATATCCGAGCGGGGTATGGCAAATGCGGTGAAAGTACACGTTCGAATACTGATAATTTCTTGATGCTCGTTTTGCAACACGCGCGGTGTAGTTGTATTTGTAACGACCCTTTCCAATCGACCCTCTCTCATTTTTTCGGAACCCGTAATCTGTACCCCGTAATGGGTGACTGGATCCTTTTTTAAGTATGTTCGCCGTCCCTTGGGTACAGCACCCTACATTTTATTAGTGATTTACGACTCGAATGATATTTCAATCTACCATAACTTCAATTTTCGTTTAATAGTTTGGGGATTCTGTTGAAATAGTAATTGAAAATTTGTTTAATCCGTATTTCTCTTTAAAGAGGTGAAAATTATGTTCACTCTCTGTGTCGAAAGAAATCAGACAAAAAATAGGATCTTTATGATAATTCACGATTTAATGCTTAGTACCTAAACTTTCCGCTCTACATCTGCGGGAGTTCGTTTGAAGCGTTAATCTACAGTGAATCGCGCGTCAGTTTCAACATTTTTGTAAGCTTAATGTCTTGTCTACTCCTATGATCATTTCAAATTAATGAGCGCAGCGTGAAGAGTAGGAAAAGCTCGTTAGCGCTAAAAATAAGGAGAGAATACACTCTCGCCCGTAAACGTGTGAATCAGTAAAAACAATTGTTCTAAACAAATTATTTAATTTATTAAAATATTTATCATAACCAACGTGTTAATTTTCTATTCTATGGAGATCATTCTGGTATTTCAACCAATCGAAATTCAATCTTATAAAAATACAATAAAACTGTATTATGTTATTTATTACTGACTACTCGTGGTGCGTCGAGCTAGCGACTCAATGAGGTTTCCTGTTCTAAATTAATCAGCGGTAGATTTATGGAGTAGAGTGTACGGACACAATACAGATGATCTGGAGTAACGTTCGAAAGTAGCCGAATTGTTTTCACAGAAGAAAGTTGATCGCGTATTCCGCGTGCATGTGACCACGCACTCGCTCGCACGTATACCAGCACGCGCTAGAAATGCAGCCGACGAGTGTTCGCGATCGTTTCGCAACCGATTTTCTACCCATGTTAAATTGTAACGCTTACGTAACTGGTCGTTCTCTCCCTTTTTCCCTGTGCCTTCCCCGGCAATACGTAACGAGACCCAAAGGAACACGCGCCTGTGCCAGATCTTAACGGATCCTTAACCAACGGTAACAATAAGTTCGCACATCTTCGGGGAAAAATTTCACCGGCCCGTTGTACAATCTCCCGACAACCGTCTAATTATCCTTGACGCGACTGTATTCCCTGTTATTACTTCCTGCCGAGGTACACACATCGGCGCGATAATCACGTTAACCGTGAGCTTCTCGTTTCCCGCCTCGTTTCAATTGTATCTAGTTTCCAGTCGCAGCGTGCAATTAGGAATGGAATGCGAGATCTGACACTTCCCTGCTCGAGTTATTCCACTGGGTGTTTACGCGCGATACTAGAAAGACGGTTTATAATTAGATCGCGCATTATCGGTCTTCAAAGAAATCTCAACAACGCTTGGTTCTGCATAAAAACTTGGTTTATTTATAATTTTAACACAGCAGGTCATTATTAGTTAATTTACATAAATAGAAAGAAGTCGCGATCTCTTAGATGATTGATGAGATTCGCCGCCTGGGTTCGAGGTGGTCAAGTTATTCAATTTAACGATACGTGTTTATTAATTAGTCACCGCGGGGAGTTTCACAGAAAAGCTTTGGCGAAAGTGGAATTCAATGACTGAATCGGTTTCGTAATCAGCCAATAAGCAGATAATTATGTTCTTTAATAAACAATATCCGTTAGAAGGAAAAAACAGAGCGAGGAGATCCAAAAGGGGAAAGCAGTAACCGAAAGTAAAAGTAAAAGTCGCTGGTTCTTTTTTTTTCAAATCAAGTCACTGGAAACGATTAACGCGACGTCTTAATTACGTCTCATTTTCTCTCACCTTTTATTAAACTTATCAATGACAAATTTGTCAACACTTGAAATCTGTGCGAAAGTTGGTCGACGTGAAGGAGTAGATTAAATCGCACGTTTCCTGCGTGGTACGTTTCCGAATTCATTTTCATTCACGTGTTGGTCGTAAATCGTTCTAGTAGAAATGAATTCTGTACAAATTAACTTGTAACATAGTTGAACGACGTCAATTAAATTCTCGCATAATCAGTCGAAGAATTCGCTGAAATTCATTCACACGTTCAGATAATTACGACGTTCTAAATTACTGAAATTAGCAATTTAAATCTCCTATGATTGATTTACGTATTGAAATGTAAAACAATTTCAATGTCAAACATAAAAATTATCATCGTTCACGTAACATCGTTTCGCAAGAAATTTTACCTGTAGATAGACGTGCATGTGTGACAAACAAAGGAAATTGCCAAACGTTGTTACGTTAAAACTGAAAGTGACTACAAAGCTACTGCAACTATCTCAAGCAATGTCTAGTGCATTCAAAACGGGTTTCGAACGATGTCAATGTTTCTCTAATGTTCTCTTAAAGAGAAACCTTACCTCAGATAATTCTCCTCTTTAGTCAAATCGGTTACGTTAGATTTAATTCGATGGGTTGTTTTTAACCAGACGATTAAGCAATTACTGATGTCTTAAATAAAAGAAGCTTTCAATATGTGAAGATTCAATTTATCTGTACGATTGGATGTTATCATTATGTCATCTAGCGTTCTAATCTAACTTTAGAATAATTAAAGAACTGTGCATGGTATGTAAACCTTATACTTATAACAATCGCAACTACCATGGACGCCTCATACTCACATTCACAATAATTAACAAAGCTTAAATCGAAACTATTATGGATACCTCATACTCGCATTAACAATGATTAACAAAACACAAATATAAACTACCATGGACACATCTCATGACAACACATAACAAAACATAAAGGAGAATTACTATGGCCTTATCGTCGCATCTGTTTCTTCGCTAACCACATCATTTACAACAATAATGGAGAAACATCGGACGGCCAAACAACATTTTTTCACACAAACACAAATTTTTTCAGACCACGCTACTGTTGGTAGCATCCGCGTATTCGAAACCAGCACCGGAACCCCCAGCCAATTCTTACTTCCCTCCATCGGGCGGTGGTGGCCTCCCGAGCGGATCCGGTAGTTACGGACCCCCGTCGCTTCCGGACCGTTACGGGCCACCCCAACAACCGCCGGTCGTCCACAAGCACGTCTACGTCCATGTGCCACCCCCGGAAGCGCCGGAATACAAACCACCAAAGTATATCCCACCCGCTGCGCCGCCACAGAAGCACTACAAGATCGTTTTCATAAAAGCACCGACTCCACCCACGCCGACGGCACCGGCTTTGCCGCCGTTACCGCCTCAGGACGAGGAGAAGACGTTGATCTACGTGCTGGTGAAGAAACCGGAAGAGGCGCCAGAAGTAGTACTACCTACCCAGGCACCGACGCAACCCAGCAAACCGGAAGTCTACTTCATCAGATACAAAACGCAGGTATGTCGAACGTGACCCGACTCTTTGAGCGGCTAATCGTTTCAAGAGAAAGCGAAAGGAGACAATGAAATATGAGATTCAACTAGTTCTCGCTAAGGAAAATGCATATGTCTGTAATTGTTCAGCTAGTTGGAAGAGAAGTTGATCGTTAGGATTTCTTTTCTTTTCGAGGCAAGATAAATTGTAATTAAAAGAATATCAAGTGTTAATCTATAAAAGAAGCAAGAAGAATCGCTTATCAAATAATGAACTGTTGAGGTTTATCAGTCGAATGTGTTTCGTCGTTTTTAAATGTATCATATTTCTTATGATACAGAAAGAGCAACAGAGCCAGGAATATGGACCACCGGCGCAATCACCTCCTTCGGATAACTATGGCCCACCGAGCTCTGGCGGACCATACTAAATAAGTATATCATTAGCAAGTAATGCGATGCTCCCAGTGAGTCGAATGAGGTATACCAATCTCATGAGTTAAAGAATGAGAATCGTCCATGAGATTGCGAGGAAATTGATATGCACGTAACGCTATTACTCTTACAGAGTCTCGTAGGTTCAGTCTAGACTCTAGACTCGTACGCATAGATTTTTTATTATAGTCCAAGTGTCTATTTATCACGGTGAGGACATTCTTTAACACGGATAAAACAGAAAGATATAAAAGCGAAATCTTAAGAAAAATTATAAAGATAATAGTTATAAACATTCGATTCTTCAAATGATTTAATTCCACATCTTATAAAGAAAACAGTCGGAAACATCTTTGATGAAAATGTCAACACTGCTTAGAATGATTACACATATCATAGACAAATAGATGATGATGATGACTTGGGAATTTAATTAACAACGAAAATAATTATAAGGTGTACATGTATATTTTAATAAAACTATTTGTACTTTTGTAGAACGTGTTTTACAATTTTTTATTACGAGCTTGCCAATCCAGTTCTTATCTTCAACGATAAGGCATATTATTATAAATTTATGATTGGGGAATATGAAATAAATTTCATTTCAGTTACGAACATTTATTCAGAACAGGAAAGGTAGTCAACTATAACATATGGTAGAAACGTTGGTATTTTAGGGTACAATTCAATTTGACAAATAGCACATACGTTCAGAATTGATCTCACGAAAAATTCGTCGCCAGAATGTACATAGTCAATTGTTTTAAAAGGTAGTAGGAAAATATTCAATGGAATTTAAACACCGTTCGTAAAAATCGTAAGAGTACTTTAAACAACTTATAAAAATATCTATAGCATCATGAGGCATTCTCCTAAACACTTTTATCGGTCTTTAAGTCGATCCAAAGACCGT